TTAGGTCCATTAAAAATCAACAAATCCATTTAATTTCTTTTTAATTTGGACCCACTGAAAAACTAACTAATTCATTCTCTTTTAAATTTGGCCCATAAATCCTTACATGGCCCATATAAACGAGTTAATAACTATTTCTTTTAACTTAGGCCCACATGTAATTTTCTGGCCATATCAACGAATTAATAACTTGGGCCCATGCCATATAAATGAATCATACGAGGCCCATAAAACTATGAGGCCCTGTGCTGTGGGTCTGACCAGCACAGGGCCTGGGTCGGGCCTGTTTATGTTTTAAAGTTATAAATTAAAAAGCAGTCTGGCGTGGTTGCTGCCGTGGCCGATGACGTGGCCTTCTTCGTTAAAAATTCAATAATAGTAATGGACAGTTAGCCATATCTTGACCTGCAACAATAGTTATAGCTAATAATTTGAATTTACGTAGGGTTGGCTATAATTCCTCGCTTCATAATACTTATGGCTAATATATTGTATTTACCCTATTTTATTCAATATTCTAATTTTGTCCTCAACTATTGTCTCTATTAATTTTATTAACATTGACCGTTAGTAGTCAATGGTCAACGTACTGACCGCTGATGTGTCAACTAATTTGGATTGTTTTTATATTTATAAAAAAAAGTTAAAAATAAATTGTTTCTTACTTTGCAAACTTAAATCTAAATATATTATATTAAAAATAGTTTCCGGAAGGGATTCCTTTCTAGTTTCATATATAATTTGATTTTTGCTGGACATGGTTTTTTTGGGCTATGCAAGTTGGATTTGTTGGAGACGTGTCAGCGGGAAAGTTGACGATGTCGTAGGTAGGGTGGGAATTGGTGCGGTCCAAACCGCTTCATCCGCTCCAAATCACTTATGTAGTCCGTCCAAACCGCACCATTAAGATTGTGGTTTCATTTGTGGTCTAATTATTAAGCGGTTCGCGATTTTGCGATACGAGTTGACGGAAACCGCGCGGTTGCGGTTCAAAACCGCAAATCGCTAAATCCCTAAGATCACCCATCAATACTCAGCAACGCCCCTCAGTTCTCACCACATAGCGTTGTCGTTCTTTTCCATTTATATCTCTGCTATCGGCGAGTCGTTGCCACCGTCATGCTTTCGCCGGTAAAATAAGACGGCGGGGAAGGCGCCGCCAATTCCTTGTTGTGTCATTGGCTGCTGCATCCCCGCCGCCGGTGGATACAGGAGCGGCCGCTCATTGTCGTGATTTGCAATTGGCTGCTCTACTTCTCCGTCCAACGTCACCGTGGATTGATTATATTTGAGTGTCGTCGTTCAAAGTTCCATGCTCTGTATTGGGATTGTAATCTACTAATTGGAAGTTTAATTTATCGTGGCAGGTTTTCATTGCTACTGATACAAGGCTTCACTACTGGTTCTCAGTGTCATGCCTCTTCTTTGTTCTTTCCAACTCCACTGCTCTTTTTTATTCTTCTTCCAACTTCGTAATTGGTGGGAGCACTTTGCGGTCTAACTTGCGGTTGCGGTCTAAATCGCACCAAACCGCTAATCCATGTGGTTAGCTTTAATCGCACCGATTACATTGCAATCCATCATGCGGTGCGGTCCAATTAATATGTGGCGTGGTGCGGTTTATAACTATACGGTGTGGTGCAGTTCGAACCGCACCGATGTCCACCCCTAGTCGTAGGAGCAATGGATGCAGTGGACGGAGACGGCGAGTGGTCCAGGAAGGTCGCCGGCGGCGGCCGAACAAAGACATATAGGAACTAGTCTTTGGTGGAGCCGTTGTGGAGGCAGGTTCTTGTTCGGAGGGGTTTAATAATTATGAATTAATAAAATGACGTGTCAATAATGTGACATCTACTTGGATGCTACGTTTCTGCGTTGTCATCAAAAGTCAATATCATTCTACCATTTGCTCGTCCGTTATCTTTAACAATCAACGAAAGCGACAAGATACAAATATCATAAAAAAAATCATTCGCATGATATATTTGGAATATAGAATAAAATAGGATATAAGTAATTTATTTTTATGATAATGCCCATTTTTTATCCAAATCTTTTTTAGATTCTTTTATATTATCCAAACCTATCAAAATACTAATAATTATCCAAATGTTAACTTTTAGTTAGCAATTTTGTTAGTAATATTGACTTGGCAACATTATATTGACTTGGATGAGACACATGAAGGTCAATATTTCAAAATTTCAGTATTTTAACTAAGAAAAGAGTTACAAAATTATTAACGATAACATAAAATGTATAATATTTTGATGCATTACGAAATATTTGGCTAATTAATAGCATTTTAATAAGTTTGGATAATATAAAAAAATCTAAAAAAAGGTTTGGATAAAAAATAGACATTACCTTTATTTTTATAATTCAGGTGTTGTAGTGGTATTATACCTAAATTAAAAAAAAAAACACAATCATATTTGTATCGTTTGTTTAGATCGAATAGAGTGCGAACACCCTTTAATATTAGCACCAAGCTATCCACCCATAGCAATAGTTCACTTCCCCCTCCATCCCATGCATTTTACTTCTATGCGCAAATAATAGTTTGAAACTTAATAGATTTCATTTTTAATACCTAAAATTAATTTTGCATAAAGTCTTAATAAATTGATAAACAATTATATTTTAGAACTTAAAATTTTTTGTCTTGCATTTTTAAAATTTACAAATAGGTCAATGTTTATGAGGTTTCTGGCCTGTTTTAAGAAACTTGTAGTATGATTTATGAGGTTTCTGGTATGTTTGTAAGAAACTTGTGGTCCGCTTTTACAAACTTGCGATACGCTTTTATGAGGTTTCTGATTTGACTTATGAAACTTATGTTATGCTTTAATAAACTCGCGGTCTGCTTTATGAGATTTCTGGTCTGCTTTGGGGAACTTGTGGTATGCTTTAATAAACTTGTGGTATGCTTTTATGAGATTGCTGGATTGTTTCAAAAAACTTGTGCTCTACTTTAAAAAACTTGTGCTCTACTTTAAAAAACTTGTGGTTTGCTACAGGAAATTTGTGGTCCACTTTATGAGGTTCCTAGTATGCTTGAAGGAACTTGTAGTATCTTTTGAATTTTTTTGATGCTTTTATATAATTTTATGGTATTTGTGGTGTGTTTTATTATGTTTCTGGTATGTATCACGTGATATGCTTCATAATACTTGTGATGAGGTGCGGAACACCGAATTAGTACATAACACTACACGTGTATGTCCCTCATAATTTGCAATAATGACAAGCATGTCCATCTTCTTATAAATCCACATTAATTGTGGTCAATCACTTAAAAAAAAAAGACGAATTAGAACCAAATGTTCTTATTGGCGCTAACTAATGTTAGCACCATGCAAATAAATTTGGACCCTGCCTATTTGTATAAACAAAGGGTTAATACTTTAGTTTGGCCCGAACTATACACATACTTTCTACTTTGGCCCGAATTATTGAATATTGCTACTAGGGCCTGAACTATGTAGCAAACTTCCTCCTTTGGCCTGGAGGCGGGTTTGACCGTCAAATTAGACGGTCAAACCTGTTGACCGTTAGTCAACGTACACCTCACCTGCCACGTCAGATTGGAGAAACATAAAAAATTATTTTTTATTTTTTTTTCTTTCGATTAATAACATTAATAATATAATTCTTATACAAAAAAAAACTAAAAAATCAAATAAAAGAACGAAAAAAAAAGAAGAAAAAGCCCAAAATTATCTCAGCCCTTCACTTCCCTTATCCTCCCGCATCAACCGGAGACTATGGAGGGCTGACGACCCGATCCCGATCCACAACCCGGAAAAAATGGCCGCCTCCACCTTCCTCGCCGTCGACGCATCCTCCAAACTATCCAATCCAGTTGTTAGAGCATCGCCAACCGCCGCCGGCAAGACTACTTTCCTCCAGCTGCCTCTCAAGCTCCGCAACCCTGGATCCCTCAAGCACGCTTCCTCCTTCGCCGGAAGCAGGAGATCCTTCTCTTGCACTAGCCAGGCCGCTTCCTCCGACGACGCCAGACCTCCATGTAACTACTCTCTCTCTCTCTCTTCCTGCTCTGTCAATTCAGATTTCTTTTTTATTTTATTAATTTTGATTTCGATTTTTTGCAGCCAAAGTTCAGGAGCTCCACGTCTACGAGATGAACGAGCGAGATCGAGGGAGCCCCGCCGTCCTCCGATTAAGCCAGAAGCCGACCAATTCCTTCGGCGATCTCGTCCCTTTCAGCAACAAAGTCGATCTCCGGAGTTCTCTTCCTTCATCTCCTCCCTAAAACAGACGGTTGTCGCTCCTGGCAGCGGTAGCATTGGACGCGGGAGCGGGATGGGCGTCGCTGCGGAGGGACCGCGATTGGAAAAGCCTGCACCTAGGGCGCGAGGGAGAGGCTCTGTTCCTCCAGCGAAGGAGAGTTATCTGCCCTCCAGTTTGAGGTCGTCCGAGTTTCGGCGCCAGGGAGAGGCTGATGGTGATGTTGACGATAGAGCTGGAGCTGGCGAGCAGAGTCAGAGAAAGGGGATAAGGGAAGTGGAGGGGTGAGATAATTTTGGCCTTTTTCTTTTCTTTTTTGGTTCTTTTAATTGACTTTTTAGTTTTTTTTGTATAAGAATTATTATTAATGTTATTAATCGAAAGAAAAAAATAAAAAATAATTTTTTATGTTTCTCCAATCTGACGTGGCAGGTGAGGTGTACGTTGACTAACGGTCAACAGGTTTGACCGTCTAATTTGACGGTCAAACCCGCCTCCAGGCTAAAGGAGGAAGTTTGCTACATAGTTCAGGCCCTAGTAGCAATATTCAATAATTCGGGCCAAAGTAGAAAGTATGTGTATAGTTCGGGCCAAACTAAGGTATTAACCCTATAAACAAATGACCAATTTGTACAAATAGAAACCTAAGTGACCATTTTGGATAACTGCTCACCCGCCATTAATGATTGGGCGGGATCCTATGTATTATATAAAAATAATTGGGCGGGAGAAATGGTAGGGGAGAGACAAGAGGAGCATTTCAAAAGTGAAAAGTCCCTTCCAAGGAAAAGGAGAATTAGGGTTCCTTCCTCTCTTGCTTTCCCCCCTCCGTCTGTTGCAAAATCTGGCATCCTATAATCGGCGACAATGAAGCGCCCTCGCCAGTTGACTTCTGATAGAATCAGCAACCTTCCAGCCAACGTAATAGATTGCATTCTCCAGTTCTTGCCCATAGAAGATGCTGTAGAAACGTCAACGCTATCGACACAGTGGAGGAAAATTTGGGCAGGTATTCCTAAACTCGTGTTGAATGGCTTTCTTGCTCGAATCAATGACCACGGAGACCATCCCTCGGATTCGAATAGGTCGATGTTGAACGTCTACAAAATTCTGATGCTTCATGATGCAAAGATAGATAAGTTGGTGCTTGGATTTCCTGGGTTAAGGCCCTCCCCTGATATCGATCACATGATTCTCTACCTCTCCAAGAAAGGCGTCCAGGATTTGACAATCATTTTCGGTGATGACGACATCGACAACAACACTACTCGCCCGAAAAGTGGCCGCAATATTCCCAATTCCCTGTTCTCTGCTCGCCAACTCAAGTTGCTGAAACTGCAGGGTTGTGGATTTCAGGCACCATCTTGGTTTGTGGGATTTGGTAGGCTTCTCACTCTTGACCTGAAGAAAGTGCACTTGGGGCCTAATTTTTTCAACAAATTCATCCCCAAGTGCTCGTGTCTAATATATCTGACCCTTATAGAGTGTGACTTGGACTGTAAGAAGGTCGAACTCGTGGCTCCTTCTCTCATTACGCTTATCTTCCACTCGGATTACCGTAGTATCTGCTTCAAGAATACACCACATCTTTCAACGGTGAGTGCTCTACAGGATGACAAATATAGCTACAAGGAAACCTCATTCGAGTTGGGCGAGGAGAAGCCAGATATAGCTGCTGTATTTGCATCTCTCCCTGCAATTGAGGAGTTAAATGTTGGCACTGAGTTCTTCCTGGTAACACTTCGTTGCTGTTTTGATTATACTTGGTTTGTTCAACTTAAGCATCTGGGTTTCATTTACTCATTCATTTTGCTCTGGCTGCCATGTGTTGTTTCTTCTTCTCTCTAGTTCTGTACTGCAGGGCATGTCCCCTACAAGCTTTCCACTGAGCTGCATCGTCTGAAAGTACTCGTCGTAGATAATGTCTTACTGAGTAGTTTGCAGGAGGCTCGAATTCTCGTTTGTCTCATAACGAGCTCCCCCAACTTGCATAGTCTCAGTATTTTGGTTGGTCAAGCCTCCTTACTTCCTTCCTTCCTTCCTTGTGAGCTAGAGTAAAAATTCTCTTGCTCAAATCAATTTGTATGGGTGGAAGTTAAGTCTCTTGCCTGACTTCATTCCATTTGATGAATGCTGTTGTTTTAGGTCGATGTTGATAACGATGACCATCAGCCCACAGAGGTTATTGGCAGCTTACAGATGTTGTTGGAGGCAGAGGAAATCCCTGCCACTTGCTTTCAGTGCCTAGAAGAGTTTAATATCCATGAATGTCGGGGTACAAAGATTGACCTCGAACTGCTGAGGTTTGTACTAGCAACTAGCCCCATGCTTCGTAAGATTTCCATTGAGCCAGAATATAAAATGGACTCCAGCAAGGCTCTCGATTTCTTGATGGAGGTAACACAATGTAGACGCGCTTCCAAGGAAGCAGAGGTCATATATCTCAAGTCACATCAATGATCAGGTTGGGAGGGGTACGGGGGTTGTTGTGGCGCGCGCTCATCTTCCTTTTCAGTTCTCTGGAGTTGGAATGCATGGTAATATTTTTGTGTTTCTTGTAAAACTGATGGAAGGATGTCTGGATCTAGCTTAGCCTTTATTTTGGTGGGAGGAGAGCTTTTGTATCTTCCTTCTGTTCAAAAGTGCTCCACTTCTTTTAGCAGTTGCAGTCCAACTACGTGGTACTAGCATGAACGAGAAACTTGATATGGTTTATTTGCTTCTCTCGCTGATAAACTGTTATCCTGTTAACGCTATAATCAAACCGGAAACTGTGATTAACGGTTACACCAATAACCGATTAAATAGTAATCGGTGGGTTTTTGGTAGGCAAATTTTGATAATTGTTAATCGATGGTTAAGTGGTAAGTAAACAACGTTTAAATGGTTAACCGATTAACTAATTACAACCATCCTCATAATTAGAGTCGAAAATAATATGTCACGATGAGCTGTAGACATAGGTAGAAAATATTGGGATGTTTAGGGCAATACAAGATCCTTTGCGTATCCTAGTTGTAATAGTGACCTAGATTCAAATGAGAATTATTTTAAGAAAGGAGTAAGGACTTTAGAGGAGCATAGTAGAAAGTTGGACTTGCGCACAATACCTCGACAATGATCAGTACCATTTAAACTTCCATGTAATTTGGTGGGCTTATAAGTTAAATAATTGTTGTTGGGTCTCGTATTCTTGTCTGATTCTTTAATCAAATTTGAAAGTAGAAGGGTGTTATTGTGTATTTGTGTTGTATTGAGTTGATTTGGATTGTGATCTATGTTAAATTATTTTTTATTCAATGATAACAAATTAAAGAAAACACATATGTATGTAGGAAAAAATCTAAAAAATGCACAGTTGAAAAAAAAGGAGGTCTTCTGTTGGTTAGGTTACTGGTCGATTTTGGTGTAAACTTGTCAAATTTCTTGCACAACGGTTATCCGGTATACCAATAAAATAATTGTGAACCAACTATACGGTTATTGTTAACCGACTAATATTAACATTACGACTAACGGTACACACAAAATACTTAACAGTTAACCGATATCCGACTTAACGATTTCGATTATGGCTGAGCCGAATCGATTATCAGCCCTACTGCCGAAAGGCCGAAACCCCATAACTTCTAGGTTAACTTAGTTGGAATTAAAGAGTTGAGAATCATAAATGAAGATGGATTAGAATCTTGATCGAGTACCTAAACTAAAGATAATTATTTTTAAGAATGGTTGTAAATCATGACTAAAAGACTCATCATGAAAACTTAAACAACTTTCATTATGTAGATAGACTACTATTGATAAAAAAAATTCAATTGAAAATCTCACATAAAATCTAAAATTTCCACAACTTGTTAAATAAAAAACCTAAATCAATGTTCCGACCAACTGGTACGGTCCAAGCTAGTGATAGCACATGGGCAGAGCGGATCGGTATCTCAATATCCATACCCGCCCAACATCAAACACGGGTCGGGCAAATAATACCCGCACGGGTATGGAGCGGGATGGGCGAATAATAATCATACACGCCCACTCTTACATGTTATTTGAAAAAATACATTTAAAATTTTACTTTTTACGATAAAACGTAGTGAAAACACTTTATGAATGAAAATTTAGTTTAACTAGTTGAAAGAGCAAGTCTAACTAGTTGAAGAAAAATTGAAATATGAGAAAATATGAATAAATATTGTAAAAAATTGCATATAATTAGTCAAGAACAAGGCGGGGCGGGGCAGGCAGAGCGAGGCAGACGGATCGAAAGTAGATATCCATGCTCCGCCTCTTACTACTAGGGGTTGATAATACCCGGTCTATCACAGATAGGAATGGCAATGGGGCAGGTCCGGGGCGGGTATCTCGATACCCATACCCGCCCCATGGCAGCAGAGTAGTTAAAATCCCGATTTAAATCCTAAAATCTTACGCTTTTATGATCTTACTTACCTATTCCGATTCTGATTTCACTATAAAATCTATGGACCTTAAAATCCTACAATATTAACGATTTAAATCCTTAAAATCTTTAAAATCTTACGATTTTACGATTCAAATCTTTAAGTCAATTTTACTTATTTTCCCTAGAATTTGCAAAATTACGCCTCTTTTTCTTCTCCTCCACCAACATCATCTAGTTCTCTCACACTAACCACTATAGATTATAATCAATTCACATCAACGTATTCATCTCATCGATTCACCACCTCTTAACATTAATCTTGATAGATTGGAACATTAACCTTGAAAAATTATCATTGTAAATGTTATGTGCTTTTGTGTTATTCATGATTTTCCTTACTAATATTATTCCGTCTTGATTTTTACATGGACCTTAAAATCCTACGATTTTACGATTCCGATTTTACTCCCATTTTCGATTTTACGTAAAATCCCGATTTTGACTGCTTTGCATGGCAGGTATCTCGATACCCATACCCAACCCATGGCAGGTCGAGTCCAGGTCGGATAATTTATCATGGGGCATGGGTCGAGGCAGGTCGACACAATGTGTATGTAATTTATACGGAAAATATTTAAAATATTAGTTATTTTCATAACAAGACCAAGAAACAAACCATAATATCGATAATTATAGTTAAATTATTGTAGAAGTTGAGGTTTTCACTAATTTACAACTTTATTATAACTAAAATATGATGTTAGGAAAGAAAATCCTAAGTAATTTGACTAAGAATACATGTAATTTAGTCAAGAACGGGTCGAGAATTGGGCGGGTCAGGGCAGGTCGGGTCGATTAGAGTACCCATGTCGGACTCGCACCAAAAAAGGCCAAACAAATCGGGTAAAATGGGTCAGATCAAAATTGTCATCCCTAATTACTGATAAGATCATATAATACCGAGGGCGCGGATTCAATTAACATCTCTAGTCCAAGCTAGTTAACTAGTAATTCCTATATTGGATACGATTAGGGATGGCAATTTCAACCTGTCCCGTTTTATCCTACTTTTTTGGCCTGTTGTACTCTCATCGACCCGACCTGCCCCTGACGTGCCCCATTCTCGACCCGATCTTGCCTAAATTACATGTAATCTTAGTAAAAGTATTTAGGATTTTCCTTTTATTACACTATATTTTAGCTATAATAAATTTGTAAATTAGTGAAAACCTTAATTTCTCCAATAATTTAACTACATATATTATATTATGGTTTGTTTTCTTTGTCTTGTAATGAAAATAACAAATATTTCTAATATTTTTCGTATAAATTGCATACCTATTGGGCCAAGCTACCCCAACCCGTAACCCATAGTAAATTACCTCACTTGTCACGGGACGACTACGAGTATCAAAATATTGGACCTGCCGCATTGCCATTATCAATTTACTAGCTCGGTACCCGGCCGTTGGCCGAACTATATTGCGTTGGAATATTTATAACCTCAAATTTTATGTTTTCTAAGCATAAAGCATTAGACAAATGGATCCCTACTTTATGATTACGAATTATCCTTACACCATCATAAGTTTGATGAATATCTCTTCATATATATTCATAAAAATATGTTCATTACTTTTTTGAACAAACCATTTTTATTTTACGTGGCGCTTATTTTATATCTAGTTTTCATTGTTTTTCGATATAGAATATTGGATCATATGTGCTTAATACTTTTTGTATTCAATATACACATTGAATGATGAAATTGAAAACTATTAAAATATATCGAAGTAAAGATACAAAGACCCGAGCAAAAAATAGTGATAAAATTCAAATGTTATGCGTTATTGGCCAAAGGAAAAAGATAGAGGAAATTGCACGATAGACAAAGGTACTCAACCATAAGATATAGCCAAAAAGAAGGTAATGGCTCATTGTAAACCCTTAGTTTAAATATTTGATTGAATTCCTCAGCCTAAGTTGATATTTCTTATCATTCTATAGTATTAGCCAAAGATTCTCACCTAATAGTTAGCATGATTTAGAAAAGGGTTTGTTAAAAAATCATTAAATTCTTAGCATATATAATTTTTCAATTTTATTCAAAACGCTCTATCAGTAACATGAGATTATCTTGCTATAATTTTTTGATTTGGCTAAGGATTGTCACCATCAAAATACCATCATAACCATGTTTTATCATAGGCCTTACACACTTAGTTTTTGCCCGAGGTTGTTAGTTCAAGTTTTCCAACAAAGAAAAAAATATATATTTGTTAATGTTTATTTACCTTAGGTGTACATCTTACTCAAGCACTCTTGATGCTTAGTTCTAGACTAATGTGAATTATATGTTTTAGCCAAATTGTTAAAGTACACAATCTTTCACTAAATTTTCTTTCATCTACGTCAAAATACTCAACTCTAAACTAACAAATTCCCAAGGATCCTTACCTGCTAGCTTAGTCCTTAACCAAGGATTTTTATACATTGGTAGAGGCCATGCTAGATCATTTGGTAAGGTTTTCAAAGTGGAGTCGCTCAACCCTCAAACAATAATGTGTTACACTTTTGTCCTAAACCATAACCAAGTGATTCATGCCTTAGTGCAACCAAAGCTATCTATACGTTGGTAGAGGTCATTCTAGGCCATTTGATTACCTTTCTTAACTAAGATACTTAATTCTTATTCTCCTCAAACCTTTAATTATCCCCTTAATTAGCTTAGATTTTCAAAGTGGAGTGACCTAACCCACAACCGATAATGTTGAAAATTATGTGTTTGACCTTTGTCCTTGATCCTAACCAAGCGGTTAATGGCCAAATTTATTTGGACGATATCACGTGTCTCATGATTTTTTGCACGATTGCTTCAGTGGATAATCTTATCATGACATACTGGCCAATTAAGTCATAAAAACCACCTATTGTAGACCATGTTTACATACTGAACAAATGCTATGAAAATTGTCAAGTAGTTTTAAGCGATAAAACTGGCAACCTACAATACATCCTATGCTTTGGATCGGTTTTTAACCGATGTAGTGTACATTTTATTTTGATTTATCTAACAACAACATTATGTACATGGTACAATTTCATAAATCAAGATGGTTTCATCTATAAAATTAAAAACAACTTCATTATCTCATAAGTATATCTTATAAGTTTATGAGTCCTTCCAGCATAAAATTTTCAAACTGAAAATATATTCCAATTTGAATAATTGGAGGGAAAGAAATCACCTACTGTGAAATCACTTACTGCTTGGAATGAATAACCCTAGTAGCACCAGTAAATTGATTTTACTTCTTATGGGCCAAGCCCACAACACCTAATTAAATCCAGAAATTAACAAACGCCAAAGTATATGAGATGTGGAAAAGACAAAGCAATCCTTCCTAGCTATGCGGAGAGGGCTGCAAAATTCAAATTAAGGAGGTGTTGACACAGAAGCTCCATATATTATTGGTAGGATAGGATCACGGTGGGGGGAGAACAGCGCATTTAAAAAGTCCCTCCTCAGTCCTCTCACCCGGAGAAGGCCGGGGAATTAGGGTTTCCTCCACTGCTTTCCCCTCCCCTAACCAGTCAGAGATGAAGCGCTCTCGCCACTCTAAATCCGATAGATTCAGCAACCTCCCAGCGAACCTGCTACCGCGCATTCTGCAGTTCTTACCCATTAAAGATGCACTAAAAACGGCAACCCTATCGACACAGTGTTGGGAAATATGGGCAGGTACTCCTAAACTCGCCTTGAATGGCTTCCTTGCTCGAGTCCCCGAACACGGAAACTATGCTGTGTCGACCTATAAGAAGAATAGGTCAATGTTTTTGAGGTTTCTGGTCTGCTTTAAGAAACTTGTAGTATGATTTATGAGGTTTTTGGTATGTTTGTAAGAAACTTGTGGTCTGCTTTTACAAATTTGCGATGCGCTTTTATGAGGTTTCTTATTTGATTTAGGAAACTTATGTTATGCTTTAATAAACTTGTGGTCTGCTTTATGAGGTTCTGATATGCTTTGGGGAACTTATAGTATGCTTTAATAAACTTGTGATGTGCTTTAAGAAACTTGTGGTATGCTTTTATGAGATTGCTGGATTGTTTCAAAAAACTTGTGCTCTACTTTAAGAAACTTGTGGTTTGCTTTAGGAAATTTGTGGTCCGCTTTATGAGGTTTCTAGTATGCTTGAAGGAACTTATAGTATCTTTTGAATTTTTTGATGCTTTTATATAATTTTGTGGTGCAGTGGGATTCTTATATGCTTTCTAAGGTTTTTGGTATGTTTTATGGTATTTGTGGCGTGGTTTGTTGTGTTCCTGGTATGTATCAGGTGATATGTTTCATAATACTGTGTAACTCCCCCATGATTTGCAGTAATGACAATTATGTCTCTCTCTCCTTATAAGTCCACATTAATTGTGGTCAATCACTTCAAACAAAAAAAGTGATCAAAATGAAATTTTATTATTGGTTGAATGGTTGTAGTTAATGTTAGCGTTTTGTACAAATAGAAACCCAAGTGACCATTTTGGATAACTGTTCACCAATTAATAATTGGGCGGGATCCTATATTATTATATCTATAAAAGAACAAGTAACAAAACACTATTGCATAGTGTCCCATCACAAACATGATCATTTTGTAATTAACCAAAGGCTTGAAGGGATTTAATGCCACTAAAGTTCTAATCAATTATTTTTATGCTATTAGGGTTCTAATCAATTAACTTATTACAATTGAGTCCTAATTGAACCCAAGTCAAAGGAAACTCGACCTAATTCGACCAAAGTAAAGCGAGTTGAACTCACTTTTTACATATTTTGGCCCGATAAAGAGTTTTACTTTCTTCAATTAGTGGGTTGAACCCGAGTAAGCGAGTTTTACTGCGACTTTTACACGCTATATATAGTGAGTTGAACTCAATGATTTTTTCTTTTCCTCGCTTATCGATCACGGTTACGGTCGTTTTACTACTTTTTTTGTCTCCGCCTTGCAAATGGTTTTTGACACTTTTGGAGTGTCCTACTATTGCATAGCAATGGTGTCCCGTCACAAGAGATTGTCATTTTGTAATTAACCAAAGCTTGAATGAGTGTTTCACATTAAGATACTAATTAATTAACTTATGACAATTGAATCCAAGTTGAACCCAAATCAATTAACTTCGACCTACTTCAAGCCGGGTAAGGCAAATTAACCCGATATTGACGACTTTTTTTCAACAATGAGTTTTGTGCCATGAAGGTACAATTGAAAGCATGTTGAACCCGATATTGAAAATTTTTCAGGTTTTGCACACTTATCAATGGGTATTCGACCCGGTTAGAGCGAGTTGAACTCGGTGTTAACGAATTTTGGGTCGAGGAACCCAAATCAATAGGTATTCCACATAATTCGACCCTATTAAAGCGAGTTGAACCCGATGTTGACAATTTTTTTTCGACAATGAGTTTTTGCGCCATTTTGTACACTTATCAATGGCCATTCGACCTAATTCGGCCCGGTTAGAGCGCGTTGAAATCGGTGTTAACGAATTTAGGGTCGAGGAACCCAAATCAATAGGTATTCCACCTAATTCGGCCTGGTTAAAACGAGTCGAACCCGGTGTTGACGAATATTTTTTCAACAATGAGTTCAATAGGTATTCAACCTCATTCAACCCGGTTAAATCGAATATTTTCTTGACAATTGTGTCATTAAGGTATAATTTAACTCCAATTTAGCCAAAATAAATGGAAAGCGAGTTGAACTTGGTGTTAACGAATTTTGGGTTATTATCTCTTTAAAAGAACAAACTACATTTTACTTTTGGTAGAGTCACATCACACTAGGTACTATTTTTGTAATTAACCAAAGCTGTAATGGTTTAAAGGGTGACCATTCTGTAATTAAACAAAAATTAGTGGCCTTTTAGATTTTTTTGTTTTGTTACTTTTTCTTCTTCCACCCTAATCATCTTCTCATTTCTCAATCATCTCTCTCATCCCACCCACCCTCCTTTCCTTTCTCGGCTGAAAAAGAAGGAAAAAGTGACAAAGAAGCTTGGGAAGAAAAGCAGTCACACCAACAATAAATATTTTATTGTTAAACTTTTTTACTTATTAACCAAATGTTTTAAATAGTAACTATTATGACAATTGAACCCAAATTCATTTGTGTTCAACCTAATTGGATTCGATTCCGGCGTTGTCGATTTTTGGGTCGGGAACGAATCTTACCTGCTTTTGTAATTAGCAAATTGGGTCGGGTGTGGATTCATGTGTTTTTAAATTTTAAATTATTTCCATGACAATTGACACGAATTTATGTGTATTCAACCCGGTCAAGTGTTGCCGAATTTTGGATTGTCAACGAATCTTACACGCTTTTCTACTTACCGGTCGGGTATGAATTTTACCCGCTTTTGTACTTGGCGAATTGGGTCGGGTCTGGATTCATATGTTTTAAACGTAAAATAATTTCTGTCACAATTGACACAGATTCAACCCGGTCCAGTGTTGCCGAATTTTGGATTGTGAACTAATCTTACACGCTTTTCTACTTACCAATCGAGAATAAATGTTACCTGCTTTTGTAATTAGCGAATTGGGTCGGGTCTAGATTTATGTGTTTAAAACTTAAAATTATTTCCGCGACAATTGACATATAGATTCATGTGTTATCAACCCGGTTCCGTACTACCGAATTTTGAGCCGGAAACGAATCTTGCCCGCTTCTCTACTTATCGATTGGGAACGAATCTTACCCGCTTTACTTGCTTTTCTTTTTTTAAAATTAACTTTGGGTTTGTGTTTGGGAGAGTCACTTCCCCATCACTTCTCCCTGCTTTCTTTGTATTTTTCAATTTCTTTTCTCAAATTCATTCACATCACTGCTTTCCTTTCTTCACTTTCATCCGTCTCTCTCCCTTTCTCTCTCCTTTTCATTTCCTTTCTTTCCCCCAATCCCCCAGAAAACTCCCTCCCTGCCCATTCTTTCTCTTCATATCCATCAAACCCTTCCTCCACAGCGCAAGAACAAGAGAGGATGATGATCAAATCTGTTGTTTTTTCATCCAAAAAAAGCTCACTTGTCTGATTTTTTTGCCCCAAATCTCCTCTTCTTTTACTACTTTGTTCCGGGCATGGCGGCGGCGGAAGAAGAAGAAGATCCGAATGATGATGGAGGTCACGCAGGAGAGAAGTCAGCGATGCCCTCAAGATGAGAGAAGGATCTCTCTGTTCATGGATCGCCGCCGTCCAGTTAGCACCGGTTGGTTCGCAGGCCTTCTACACGGTCTGGGTAGAAAATATGGTATGTCTTTTTTTTTTTTTTTGAATTTTTCCTTTTTCGTGTTGTCTATTTCCACGAAAATGGGTTTCAGAGCCTTTCTTCTGGTTCGTTTGTGGTTGAGTTACTCTAATCAGGTTTTCTTCGATTGGTATTGCTTACGAATATGGGTGTTTACTGTTTTTAGTTCCTAATTCTTCATCTTACTATTAGTTCACTACAACTGCTTTTCTTGCTCATTTAGGCAGAGTGCAGGTACCTCTCTGCTTGCCATCGGGGGCCTCTGCAAAGAAGAAGACCTGAACGATGATGGAGGTCACGTAGGAGAGAAGTCCCGTTCACGAAGCGATGCCCTCAAGACGATCAAAGGATCTCTCGATTCATGGGTCGCCGGTGCCCAGTTAGCACCAGTTGGTTCGCAGGCCTTCTCCACGATTTTGGTATAAAATAGGGTATGTGTTTTTTTTTTAATTTGTTCATTTTTTTCGTGTTTTCTATTTCCAAAAAAATGGGTTTCAGAGCTTTTCGGGTTCGTTTGTGGTTGAGTTACTCTAATAAGGTTTTCTTTGATTGGTATTGCTCACTTCCACGAATCTGGGTGTTTTACTGTTTTTAGTTCCTCATTTTCATTTTACTATTAGTTCATCCCAGCTGCTTTTGTTGCTCATTTATGCAGAATTATCGTTCCTCTGACGCTGAAGTTTTGTTGTGCAAGTGCCTCTCTGTTTGCCATCGGAGGCCTCTGCCTCAGCTAAGGTTGCTTTGTTTTTATGGTCAGTTGAATAGTGGAACTGGTTGCTTGCTGTCAGAGGGAACCAGAGATTGTGCGTTGGTCGAGGAAAGTGTACCGAAGCCACGCCTACAGGCTACAACTGACCAGGTAATGTAACTGAGTTCCACTTTGCAACTGGTTCCCTCCGATAAGATTGGATGAATTTGCCCATTCCTTACACAACTTCGTTATTGGAACCTGATAGCACCAAAGTTTGCTCTCTTGCTGCATCTTTGCACATCTGCTTCTTTGGAAAGTTCACTCTCGCTTACTTTTCCTTCTTGCATTGCTTTTAACAGATCACATTCGATGTATCAACTACATGGGATTCAAACGTTCTCTAGAGTAATCTTGAGTTTCAACCCCATGCAGTTTGACTTTTTGCTAGCATCATTGTTGGCCCTCTGTATGTTGTTAGCAACATATTAATATTCTGTTTTGTTTACTATAAACACTTATGCTAGACATGGACGAGCACAAGTCTAGCCGACACTACAAACTCTTCTTGCTTTTCTCATTTGTTGTGTTTTCCCTGCCTGTTTGTACTTTAGGTTGTTGTTTTATTTCAGCTCCTTTCTCGACCGATTAGATCACTGAATATATATGTTCTTCAACACCGCAGGTCTTTGTATCCCTGCTTATCTCAGACTTCCCAGTGTTTGTTGGTGTTGCAGCTGCAGTATAATGTGTTTCTGGTTCCTTCGCAACCTTCATGGAATCTGTGGGAAGGGATCTATAGTTACTCCACCGGTTCATGCCTAAGATAGCAGTGCCCGAGTGGTATGCTTCCTGTCTATGCGCCCTGGGGTAACATTTTGGTTTATGCATTAGTGACCTGTAGACACAGTGATGATACCAGCCTCCTGTATTGATAAGTTGAGAAGTCATATTTGTTTTGGTTCTCAAATACTTTGATTTGAATTGAAGCTCTGCTTTCTGCGTGTCTGCATTATGCCTTGGTCATCTTTTTCTTTCCCTTTCCAAACGAGGCCTGATAGAAATAGTGATATAGGATCGACGTGCCAATAACTCTCCTTCTCCACTCATTTTCATTAGAATTGGATTTTGCTATGTTCTATTATTATTCTTCACTGTCGTACAACTAAGACGGATCAAAGTGAAAAGCTTCAACCATGGCAGTGGTGGGGAAGGGGGAAACCCTGGGATCATTATGAATTGGGATTTAATGGAAGTGGTTTTCCCAATAACATCTACAGGAACTCTGAGCTTGAGCACAAGGAGTACAAGACGAGTAGGGTGAGAAGGAAAGAGCTTGATTGGCAATCCATTTTTGTGTTGGTGGTCGTGCTAACAATTGAGGCTGGTGAGCTGCCATTCCTCGCTCTCTGAGTTTAAATTGATGTCTTGCATGTCCAAGTTTTTCAGTTGCGGGAGAAATGTTTTTTTTATTCTTCCACATACATCTTTGTATGATTTATCCCTTTCGTGATTGTTTGTTGTGTTTTTGCCAACGGACATGAGGGATATGTCGGCTCCAATTTGCTGTTCAAGGCTCGGGCCTTAGCGGTGATGGGGGACGGGCAACACTTGTCTGGTGGTAGCGCGATGACGGCGGTATTAAGATGGCAACGCGAGCCTGGAAACAGAGTTGTGAGTGAACCCGACGGGGGTGCTGTGCTTCGATAGGTATGGTTTTCTTTGTGGAAATTCATATTTATTGACTCTCTCTTAAGAAATTCTCACCCAAAAATACAAGAACACAAACCCTAGATTGATCTGATCTCACCGTTTTCATAGGCAAAGAAAATGAAGAACAAAAAACAGACGGAAAGGAAGCAGAAGAAGAAGACGAAGAGAAAGAAGAAAAGACAAGGTGAAAATGAAGAGATAAACGACATAACGACCATAAAGGCAAACAGACCTCACTGAAGAACATACGGTCGGTTTCTGGCCATTCTATTCTTTATTTTTTATGTTCCATCTGCCTTCTGGTTTTTGATTTCGAATCATCGAAACGCTTCTCTTTGTCTGCCCCTCTGTGTGTGTGTGTGTATTTCTTCCATCTAGCAATTGATATGAATCGTAATCTGAGTTTTACTTCGATCTCTGCCATTATAGCGACAAAATCTCCTTCCCGTATCGATATTAGTTCCAAAATGTATACAACCTGCTTTTGATTAGGGATTTTGGTGGGCCAGTTGTGTTTTCGACATGAGAAGTGGTTAGTTGAATTTGCTATAGCTTTTGCCTTCTCTATTACTCTCGGCTTCTTCATTTTCCTACTTACTCTTCTCTATAATGGGTGCTCATTGGCGTATCTTCTTCATATGCATTATGCTGCAAGTCATGTTTTCTCTCAAACTTTGGCCTAATTGATAGTACAACCCTTTACCCTAAATTTATGAGGATTTTATGCTTGTTGTTTCCTGTAACTTCCAATGTTGTCGTAGCACTATGAATTGCATACTTATAGTTCATTCCTTAGGTTAGTTGGCTTACTTAGTGATCAGGCCAAGGAAAATATATGTTCTCCCACCTACAACTTTACTACGTGGATGTGTGATAACATTTAACTCATGCATTCTTGCTGGTAATTAATCACTTACAGCCAAATCAATGATTATTTACTCAATTCCTTAATCTGATCAACAATTTACAGCACGCACCCACATATGGAATCTGGATACATACATATACCCATGCATTTTCTTAAACCAACATTAAGGCCGTAAAGGAGACGTGATTCTTGCTCGACCATCATCTGATCGGCGGAAGGGAACATGGGTTGTGAAACACTGATCGGGTTAGTAGAGGACTAAACTATGACCATTACCGCTAGAGAGAACAACAATGTCGCGATGATGTAAACCCCACTAATCACACTTTTTTAAGCCTGTTAATACATGCCTGCAGAGCTCGATAGGAAAGGTTGTGACCAACTACTCATTCCTTGCTTTTATCTCTTTTATGAAACTTCTTCCCTTCATTCTATGTATATGGTTTATCGTTGTTGCTTTTCGTGCTAACTTTGTCCTTTTACACTAACATCTAAATTTGTGGAAGGGGGAATGATTTATTTGTGTGCTGGGTTCTGTAAGTACGTTTACAAAGATATAATGTAGAAGTGTAGTCCATATGATCGCTTTTCAATCTAGAAAGCTCATATGGGGATTTGATTCAGCATTTGATTTTGTTGGTGGATTAGATGTTATCTGCTTTTGTGCTCACCTTTCTTATTCTTTTTACCCAGTTGGAAGAGAGGAACACCCATACGCTTAGAAAGCTATGGACATCACTCTACTATACCACACAAAGCTGAAGCGCCCAGGGTAAGGCCTCTTTTGCCTCGAAATGGGTCTCAACCTCTACGTCCCGCCTTTTTCCGGATCCATTTTCTTTGATGAGTGCATTTTCCTTCCACCTTTTCTCATTTTTGCCATTTGATTTGTGGTCTTAATCTCAGGGAGTCCATTGATTCACTCTAAGTGTCAGTAGAACTTAATCATGATATTTTGGACACTAAATTCAGATCTCAGGAAGGACGAACGAAGGAGTCGTCGATCAAGAAGTAACTCTGGCCAAAGCATCATAAGCAGCTCCACAAGGAAATTGAAGGTGCAAGTGCTTTTCATTCTATGTGTTTTCCAAAATGCATATCAATTTCAGCTTCTGGACTATTTGTGCTTATTTTGCGGTTGTCGTCTTTTATTGGTTCAATTATGTTAAATGCAAAATTTCTGCAAGGCCGGGTAGCTTCCACCGGTGAAGTGTCTTTTATCAGGTAAAGTTAATTGATTACACTGAATTCGTTTTTAGTCAATGGTGTTAACTTGGTTTCTTTCATTTTCTTGATAGGCTCAATGCGATTGGGTCAGTGTGAGCATCAATCACTGCCTGAGATAGTGGTAAAGATAATTCCTGCTAAGCATGATGACCAAATACATGTTAACTTACCACTTCCCCTCTTGCATGAGTGCACTTCTTCAGTTTTGGGTTCTGCCTCAATGAAAATTGCCTCTTGGGTTTCTGATATTGTCAGTATGCGATAGGTTATCCACAGATGTTTAGGAAGCGGAACACGAATGTTTTTTTTTAACTTTTAGCAATGCACTGCAAACAGGCCATAAGCACTATTAAAGTCACTTAATCATAGCAAAACTAAGTGCCATTATCCTTTATCTCTTGAATCACTTAATTATTGCCCTTCTGTTAATTGATGTCTCACTGTTATTTGTTAAGACGTGGCGGGTTTGGGACAACTGAGGAAGTAGAGAGAATAAGTGAGGGGGGAGAAAGAATTTGCAGACGAGGGATGGCCATCAACGGCGAACGAACATGAACCCTGCCGGTACTGCTTTGTTCATTTTCTTTGATCCTGCATTCGTATTGCTCAGTTTTTACAGTTTGTTTTGTTCTCTGCTATTACCATTCTCAGTTTGCGAGGATATCAATGGTAGCTGATAATGATGGAGTCAAGTGCATTAGGTCAGAGGAAGATATTGGTGGGATTTTGCATCATCAAAGTATCCATCCTCTATGGATATATAGTGTTGAGCTTATTGTTACTCTTCCCCGTGGAAGCTGCCAAAAGAACAACGAAGCAGGCAGTAGTGGTGAGCTCTTATGCTTGAATTTTTTTTCTTATGCACCTCACTATATTCTTTATTCGCGCTTCAATCATGGGCAAAAGTGTGATAGTTGAGCCTGAAGAGGGTGTTCTCAATTTGTACACATTGTTCGAGCTTCCAGTCTGTGTACAAATATTTGGTGTTATTTCCTCCCTATATACACGCTTTCTTATTCAGAAGTTTTATTCTAATCTTATAATATCCCATTTGACACGTCCCATTTGCTGCTACAGGTGCCTTCCACAGATTTAGTAGCAGAGTGCAGCCTTGGTGTTAATGGATCTGAGATGCATGAGCAGAGTTGATTTATCCAGTGTCCATAAATGTTGTAACCCAAGGTAGTGTTCCGATTCCAAACTCTAGAGTTTTTTAGCTGCTTCTTTTGCAGCCACTCAGAAGAAAGATTGACTTGCAGTCTAACAGTTGCTTTGGATCAAATACTTTTTACAATCAAAGCAATCCTCTTTTTTTATTTTACATGTACCTTTGTATGTTTTGTTTCATTAGATTATAGATTTCATGCCTTGGATTTAAATTTAGCTAAATATGATTGACGGTGGTGTCTAAATTCCCCGTTGTTTTAATTTTATTTCTCTGTGCCACTTGATGGTACAACTCTTTTCTCTTATGCTATTTACCCCAATTAATTATAGAAGTGTTTGCGGCCTCAGTTTCATCAAAGAGTGTCTCCAACAAGATACATAGGTAGGACGAAGGGGAGCAAATTTATGCTCTCTTTTGTTTGATTTGTTTTCGAGATTTGTGTTCGGGTTTTTTTAGCCATTTGGAACTCAACATCCTATCTTGCTGCGTTTTAGCAACCTTAAGCATCTAGGATATCATATAGACATGAATGATCGATATTGAAATGAGTTTTTTTTAGCAATGTTAGATGGTGTTAGCATGCTTGTGATGGCGAGATTGTTAAGAGGTTTCAATGATGCATTATTTTACCATTTCTAAACTTACCTCATTCTAAATTTATCTTTTCTCCCCTTTTGTATTACCATGTCGGCATATTGTTGCTCTATGTGGTCATGAAAGGATTCATTTTGTGATTCATGTGACTACCCTAATGAGGCTGCTGGATTGCTCCCCACTAAGCTGCTGGTTTCTATTTAGTAGTTTGTGTGTGCTTAATGTGCTATCACTACATAAATTCGGTGCCCTTGGATGCAAAGTGTGAACCTACCTGGGAAGTTACTTGATGAGGTTTTAGTGCATATAATAATAATCATTATTATTATTATTTTGATGGTTAGTGCATATAATTATTAGGTAGGCTTTATGATTTCCTTTTTCAGGCCTGTAGTACCAATTCATTGAAATGTGATGCCCTTAAATGAAAGAAGCTTCACTGGCTAGAACTATTAATCCTCGCTTGAGCTTTCCCTGGAGAGCGTTCCAATGGGTGTTGATGCCAACTAGACCGGTGTTGGACATGAATTTGTTTCCTCTTCTTTAATATCTGGTTTAGAGTATGTGCAAAGAGTGTTAAGTAAATATGTTCATATGCAAAAGTAGAATGATTGATTTTTCCCAAGGAGATTAGTTTACGCAGAAACAAGAAACTGGATTATGTTTTCACATAATCAGATACCTGACAATAATTTTTCCTGCAGGTACCTGCTGAGAATTAGATGCACTGATTGAGTACTGGAAAAGTGAAGAAGAGCGCCAATGTTAATGATGTTGACTGACGTGGCCGAGATTAACTTATCATCCATAGACGTAATCCAAGGTAGTGTTCCAATAGTGAAATCTACTATCTTGAATTTCTTTTCCTGAACTTCTATTGCTCCACTTTTAGTAGTTATAACTTATAAGATATGAATCCTGTGTAGATTAAGAAAGAACTCTATTATCTTCTTTGAATAGATAGGACTACAAAATTGAGAAGTGTTCTCTCTTCTTGGCGATGTTTTGTTTTCATTTTAGTGTCTTAATTGAACTTTTGTGCTTTGGCAATTTATGTGTTTAGTGCTATTTAATGGATTCAATGTGACAATTTTGAAATCTACTGATGATGTTAGCAACACATTTCATTGTTTTGGTTTACACCTCCTTTTAATTTTTTTGGTTTCATTGTTTTTGTTTAGCACGTATGTGGTTACAATATTTTGTTTAATCATTGAAGCCATGCTATTTAGTCTTATCATTGTTGTATCACCAACAACAAACCTTATGTTCGGTCTACCTGTGGGACATGTAGTTTTGTATTCTCATCCAAGAACATCTTGCTGATTTGATTTTATAGGTTGTTTTTCTTTTTCATTTGATCATGTGGTGATGTTAGATTCAAAAGAGAATGAGGTCTAACAAGGCAGAGGATTGATGTTTGGTTACGAGCGTTATTCCAGCCATCAAAGAAAGATTTCACAACTTAGAGCGATACAAAAGCTGACTTGATGAAGATTTCAATTCCAAGCGTTCATAAATTGTTATAGCTCGACAGGATGTTTTTCACTACAAGATCTCCTATCAAGTGATATGCTTTTCCCTGCAAGATCTTTTCCCAAGTAGAAGTTCTGTGTATTTTGTACCAGTATTCAAACATGTATCATCACACATTCTATTTGCCACAGCTGAAAAAAGTGCTTCACTACTCTTTACAGAAATGACTCTCTTTCTGCCATCCCTTACTACTATGCTTGCATGAAATTAAGAACAAAACCAATTCCTTATGTCAATCCTATATGTCTTCCCACTAAACCCAATACAAACAAATACCGGAATAAAGGTTACAATATATACAATGCAAGCTCACATATAGTGCAACGACCCGCCGCGGAGCGCGGGCTTTCATCCTAGTATCATATAAAAATAATTGGGCGGGAGATGGTAGGGGAGCGATAGAGGAACATTTCAAAAGTCCCTTCCCCCGGAAAAGGGGAATTAGGGTTTTCCTTCCTCCCTTGCTTTCCCCCTCCGTCTCTTGCAAAATCTGGCATTTTGGCATCTAATTGGCGACAATGAAGATACTCCGCCAGTCAAATTCAGATAGAATCAGCAACCTTCCAGCCAACGTAATAGAGCGCATTCTCCAGTTCTTACCCATAGAAGATGCTGCGGAAACGGCAACGCTATCGGCACAGTGGAGCCAAATTTGGGCAGGTACTCCTAAACTCGTGTTGAATGGCTTTCTTGCTCGAATCCATGACCACGGAGACCATCCCTCGGATTCGTATAGGTCGATGTTGAACGTCTACAAATTTCTGATGCTTCATGATGCAAAGATAGATAACTTGGTGCTTAAATTTCCTGGATTAAGGCCCTCCCCTGACATCGATCACATGATTCTCTACCTCTCCAAGAAAGGCGTCGAGGGTTTGACCATTATTTTCACTGATGACGACGACATCGACTACAGTACTTGCCCGAAAAGTGGCCGCAATATCCCCAACTCCCTTTTCTCTGCTCGCCAACTCAAGTTTCTGAAGCTGCATGGTTGTGGATTTCAGGCACCATCTTGCTTTGTGGGATTTGGCAGGCTGATCACTCTTGAACTCAAGAAAGTGCACTTGGGGCCTAATTTTTTCAACAAATTCATCCCCAAGTGCTCGTGTCTAGAATATCTGAGCCTTATAGAGTGTGAATTGGATGGTAAAAAGGCCGAAATCGTGGCTCCTTCTCTCATTACGCTTATCTTCAACTCGGATTACCGTAGTATCTGCTTCAAGAATACCCCACTTCTTTCAACGGTGAGTACCCTACAGGATTACAAATATTGTTACGAGGAAACGTCATTCGAGGTGGAGGAGGATAAGCCAGATATAGCTGCTGTATTTGCTTCTCTCCCAGCAATTGAGGAGTTGAATGTTGGCACTGAGTTCTTCCTGGTAAAACTTCTTTGCTGTTTTTTTTTTAACTTGGCTTGTTCAACTTTTTCATTTACTCATTTTGCTCTGGCTGCCATGTGTTGTTTCTTCTTCTCTCTAGCTCTGTACTGCAGGGCACGTCCCCTACAAGCTTTCCACTGAGCTGCTTCATCTGAAAGAAGTCATAATAGTTAATGTCTTGCTGAGCAGTTTGCCGGAGGCTCGAATTTTTGTTTGTCTCATCATGAGCTCCCCCAACTTGCATAGACTCACTATTTCGGTTGGTCAAGATTGCTTGCTTACTTACTTGTGTTGTGAGCTAAAGTAAAACTTCAGTTGATCAAATCAATTTGTAGGGGTGGCAGTTAAGGCTCTTTCCTGACTTTATTTCTTTTGATGAATGCTGCTGGTGTAGCTCGATGATGATAACGATGACCATCAGCCCACAGAGGTTATTGGCAGCTTACAGATGGTGTTGGAAGCAGAGGAAATCCCTGCCACTTGCTTTCAGTGCCTAGAAGAGTTTAATATGCACGACTGTCGGGGTACAAAGATTGAGCTCGAACTACTGAGGTTTGTACTAGCAACTGGCCCCGTGCTTCGTAAGATTACCATTGAACCAAATGATGGAATGGACTCCAGCAAGGGTCTCGATTTCTTGATGGAGGTAACACAATGTAGACGTGCTTCCAAGGAAGCAGAGGTTATATATCTCAAGTCACATGAACGATGAGGTTGGGAGTCGCATTGGGGTTGTTGTGGCGGTCATCTTCCTATTTCAGCTCTCTCGAATTGGAATGCATGTTTATATTTCTGTGTTTCTGTAAAACTGATGGAAGGATGTCTGGGTCTTAGCCTTAATTTTGGAGGGAGGGGAGGAGAGCTTTTGGACGAGAAGTATGGTTTATTTGCTTCTCTCTAAGGTTGGTAAACGTTTATCTTGTTAACGGTCTAATCGAACCGAAATTGATAATTAATGGTTATCAATAATCAATTAAATGGTAAATATGGTCGGTTCTTACTAGGCAAATTTAAGTAACTAGTTTTTTTGCCCGCGCTTCGCAGCGATAACAAACTAATAATACTTACAATTTTATTCACTTAATCATGATTTAGTTGAAATCGAATAATTCACAAAATTGTTAGGATCAGATACTACAATGAGTTTTATATGGTGTCTTAATAATTACGAAATAAATATATTGTATATTTGTTTAATTGATACATAAGAAATAACTACCAATTGATAAAAATTATGTAGTCTCTTAATCATTATGAAATACATACATCTCTAAATAATAACTTCTAGATAATGATCGTATTTGTAATTTATGTAACATTGTTACCATCTTCCATAGCATGTGGTCTAATAATAAAATCAAATTATAGAAAGAGATATTTGATTAGACGGTTATGTAAACGTTAACTAACCTTACATAACCTTTGCATAATGGAAAATGATAACATGGTCAATCTTTTATTTAGTTACTAATGAAGGAATTTTAGTTAGTAAGGAATGAATTATGTTACAAAAAATATCATATTTGATTACACTATTATGTGAAAATAATTTAGATTACAAAACCTTTGTGGAATGTAATACACAATTTTTTTTATACGGTATGATCTAATAATAAAATCAAGTTATGAACTATCCCATCAAGTTACAAAAAGTATCACTTATTCACATTTGATTAAACCTTATGTAAACATTAACTTACAAATCCATTATGTAATGAAAATTGATGATATTGTGAATATGTTAGTTAATAATATAGGATTTTTTATTAGTAATAAATTAAGTAAATTGGCCAGCCGCCAGGGGCCCCCAACTTCCTGGGCTTTGCACGAAATTAATCTACTCACAACCACATTAATAGATATTATATAATGAATAGTGTTTTGGTTAATGATTTGGGGTTAGCGCTTTTTCCGTAAGGAATAGTAAATTAGCGTGGGTTACTCGGCTTTTAATAATTCACATCATTTTATCGGGCTTTGTAACCCGGAAGGCTGTAGCAAGGCCTGACATTGGCATACAGGTTAAGTTCATCCCTGAGAGTGAGATTCAAGAATGATGGCCCTTTCCAATTGCTGTAGCCACTGGCCCTTTCAAATCCACTCGGTTTCTTCTAACAGACTCCAAACTTTCTTTCTGATGATTCAACTGATCCAGGGAGACCAGACCACTCGTTCCCTCAATAGCTCTCTGCTGTATGCCGATCTCTTCACCAACCTTTGTTTCGTATCCTTGAAAATGTACCATACCGACGACCCCTAAACCACACGCCGATTAAATTCCACTCGTCGGATCACAATTCTTGTGCTCGGAAAGAGCTACCTGATCCAGATTCCAGAGCAGATCCCTTTGATGCCATGCAAAAAACTGCTCAGTTGGCCACAAGGCAAATATAAACTTCAGTAAGTTCGAATTATCTAGTGCTTCGAGAATGAAGTTACAAATCCAGAAGAATTCGCTCATTGTCCCGTTTGAAATTCCATCTACGGAGCTGCAAAAGAATCCGACGATCCATTCTTCCACATCTTTCTATTGACTTCCGGAGAGGACATTCGCCATGAGCCCATGACCATGATGGTACTCGACGTTGATCCGAAGGCCGACTCCGGTTTCCCGTGCTGGAATCCAGTCCGCCGTCGCTTCGCGCCGGAGTCTCCTTTCTTCGAATCTGGCAACATTGAGGCGAACTTCTCGCCAAACAGATTGCGCTGGATTTAGGTGAGGAAGAGAAGCATCAACTATGGCGTCTGCTGGATGAAGACTGCAACTCTGGTCGCCTGGTCGGCGTCTGGCTACGGCGGTCCTTTGATTACGGTGGCGTCGGTTACCAGATTTCTAGTTTCCGCAATTACGTTACAGGTAAGTAACGGAAACATTTTTAATTTATTTAATTACCTTTCTAATTTCTTTTACTCTCAATGTTTATGTTTGTCTATGCTAATTATATTAGCTTTAATTATCTCCTCCGTAATCACCTCGTCTGCTTACGTTGGGGTAGGTACAACTAATTTAGGTTATTTAATTGCTTTCTTATTTGGATTGACATTTCTATAATTAGTCAAATTAGCTTTTAATTTCCTTTATCAATTATAATTAATTCTAATAACTCTGAATTTCCTTTCTATTTGGTTTTATTGCCTCCGATCGTTTTATTGTTTTTAAGGACCCACTTCCCTAATTAAGACGGTTTTATTGTCATTTTAATTTCAATTCATTTAAAGGCAATTTGGGTCTTTTAATGTGGTTAGACTTTTTTACTTGTTTATTTTGGCGTAAGGCTTGAAATTTTATTCCTAACGACCTAGTTAGTACTATAGCATTTTAATTGCTTTGGTTTATCAAACCTGTTTTTCCTAGGGGAATTTTATTACATTCTTTAATTTTAGTAATTTTTTATGTCTTAATTTATTCTAAAGATATTAAGATATGAATCACATCATTAGTGTGGTATATTCGGTAACTCCGATTTTGACTCAAAGGTAGACTATAATCTCGTTAGATAGAGATTTCGGTGGGAAATAAATTATTGGTTATTATTATTTTTGGACTTTTAGTTATAATTATAATCATTGGTTATGGTTTACTGACTATTAATTATTAGTCCTTGTTAAAGTTATTTGGATTTCTCTTTTATTAATTATTAGTTCTCTTTAATAAACTTGAACCAGTTTTAGCCACGTAATTGCCTACTTTATGCTCATTTAATACAATAGTTATTGGGTTTAGTAACGACTTTTTCACAAGTCGGTTACAAGGCTTTATGGCCAGAAACGGCTAGCGCCGGAAAAGCCTTAATTGTGCTTTTAAATCGTCTCCTTAATGACGAGCTAGAGTGTTTTAAAACTCTAATAAAGAGATTCTTTCGTCAGCATAATGGGGCATATTCAAAGGGCTCCCGCAGATAAATATGCTCCCAAGTCCTAATTAATGCAATCATCCAACAATTCGATACTAGAATAGATTGGTCAGCAATTGAGTCAATTCGGTAATTATACATCATGGCCGGCAACGGCTTCCGCCAGAAAGCTTTTAATGGTCATCACTTTAATGAGTATGTGTGCATTTGACTATCCAAAACGTCAATTACGGGAGGATTCTAACCGTTTCAGACTATGGTTGAAATCAGTCCTTCAAACTCGTGGAATAAAATGCCTTAACCGATGCCCTGTCTGCTGGAGACATCGAGAAAGCATTGAACATTTATTCTTCAGATGCCCCCTAGCCATTAGAATGTGGACTTTAGTGGGATTGAGCAACTTTATTGAGACCGCCCAGACTGTTAACTTTAGTCTATGGTGGCGACATGTCATGGTCTCTGAGACCGCCCCATTCCACATTCTCCAATGCATCTGTTTACTTTGGAGAATCTGGAAGTCTAGAAATAAAGTGACCTTCGAATTTTACCAACCTCATGTCCGTTCCCTATCCAGCCAGTTCTACAACCAGGTCCTCGAAGTCTCCTATCTTCTCCTTCCTCCTCCACCCCGCAGTTCTACTCCCCAAACCATCCTGCCACCTCTTGGGTCCCTCCGCCAGAAGTCTTTTTGAAGATCAACTTCGATGCTGCTGTTTGTGCCACCGGGTGTTCGTCTGGGCTTGTTATCCGTGGGTTAGACGGGCATGTGGTGTTTGCGGTTGAGCTGCAACTTCAAGGAATTGTCAATCCTTACCTAGCAGACCTTCTAGCCTTTAGAGATGCTATCTCCATGGCAGCCTCAAAATCCTTGTCCCGCGTGATAGTCGAAGGTGATCCGAAGTGGTCGTCAAACAAGTTCGTCAAGGCGTCATAGAAGACTCGATTGGTGGTTCGGTGTTACGAGGGTGTCATCAGATCCTTAGCTCTTAATCTGTTTGTATAGAGTTTAGGGCGGTACCTAGATCCGCCAACAGTGTTGCCCATAGAGTGGCGCATAAAGCACTGCTTTTGTCTCGTTTAGAGGTAGAATCTTTTGTTTTTTTGGGTGGCTTCTTTAGAGTCTGTTAGGGGTCTTGGGTAGAATTGTAAGTTTAACTATTTTCCTCCATTGATATCACTCAGGAAAAAAAAAAGACTCCAAACTTTACCATGTCAAAAAGGTATGGGTTTGAGGATCTACCTCAGTCCCGACATAATGTTATTCCCATTCAACTGGTACCTCAGCTTCCCTGAAAATCAGTATATGTAACCACACTCAAATCATATAGATATCCGACAAACAATTAGAATGAGTTTAATCAAATGAAGAACAAACAACTAATTAAACTTCTAATCACCTCCAAAGAATCGTCCATCAAAAGAATCACTGAGAAATGGAGATAACCCCTTCCCCTTCCCCTGAAATCCAACAGATGCTAAATCAACCCAAATGGAGGGAAGAATCTCCATCTTCAAATCGAGGAGCTTGATTTGGAAGCGGGAACGAAGGAGGTGGGTGGCATAGGAAAGGGAACAACACGAATGAAGAACCTGATTTGGCTAGCCGCCAAGAAATTCGTCCCCTCCTTCTTCCGCCGCCGTGTCTTTCGACGCCACCGTCTCCCTCCGCCGTGACATTCAGCGGGTTCAGGGAGGTGAGAGAGAGGGGAAATCAAGTGCCGTTTTTCGGCGTCCAAACAGCGGGTTCGGAGATGGAAAATCTGTTGTCGCCACAATCTCCTGCCGACGTTTGTGAATCGGGGAATGGAAAGAGAAGAGATGGGATAGAAGGGTCTTTGTCTGGTCGGAGGTTAGAGATGACGGGAAAGAGAAGATGGCAGATTCTGGATCGGATATTGAGATGGGAAGGGATTGGAGAGAAGATGGCAGGTTGAGATGGGAAGGGATTGGTAAAGAGGAGGAAAACAATGGCGTATCTTCCCTCAGCATCGATTCGTCTTCCAGCAGCCATTGAGGGCATTCAGAGATGGAGAACTAATCCTCCCACTAATTAGTATTGCCTTTACTTTGTCATGGGGAAAAAATG